CGGTGAAAGCCAAAGAACTTATTGGGCCCTTTAGCAATTTATTAAGAATTTAGGCAAAAGCTTTTGATCATTGTAATCTTAAAATTTTATTGTAAACCGGCATTGAAACATCAGCAACTAATATTGGACTTTAAAAGTTTTCGCCAAACGTTTTCCTGGACCGTACCGTAAATGCATAGAAAGTTATGCATGCAAGGCTGGTTGTCGCTCCTGTTTTTTTTATCAGTATACGTGTGCACTAATGTCGGGGTAATTTTGTGTCATAGTCTTGTTTTTACAAGAAACTCACAGGCTTATTAGTCTGCAATATTAAAGTACGCAGACATGTTTATCAACTAATCGTACAGAATGCGATATGGAAAAGTCTACTATTCGGTAAGATTGCAACTCTTCATACAAACCGCAAGTGGTGTGCACCCCAACCCGTAGCCATCGCCCATTTTAGAAATCAATTTCCCATTAGTTTTATATTATTTATTTATATTGTGCAACACTTGACTTGTTTTTTTATTTATACTAACTTACTTTAACATACTAATACATATTCACTTATTTTAGTGTATATATTTTATATTACTCGACTTATTTTAACATACTAATTGAGTACAAGCTGTACACTTTGAATGAACAGTTTTGTTCGTAAAAGAGCTTGATTTTTTTTTAATTTACTTGCGCTAATAGCCTCCGAACTGTTGATGACTTAACATTCAAATAACTGGCCATTACTTGGATTCCTATTCAAAAGCATTTCCTGGAAAAACGTCATTTTCGCATCTAGCGTGAACTGTTTATCGTTATCTGATTATTCCCACCCACACATAATATGCAATACTTGCTAACTTTGTATACAACAGCGATGTCTACACTTGAACTAAATGTTTATCAAAACTCATGCAACATAGTCAAGAGTATTAGTAAGAAAGACTCGTGGCCTTTTATCGTCTATAATATTTTTTATTCAATCTAATTTCTAATATTAGAACAAGTAACTTGTCCACGGACCCTGAAGCGTTTTCTCTCGAAAAGAATAGAATACTCTGACAATATAAATAACTCCATACATTCGTATGCTTAATCAAATATGTTAGTGCTCCCCCCTATTACTGTGTTACCCTACCTTAGTTCATACATATTTATCATATTTAAATGCATAAGTTGGAAGCTTATTATAAACAAAAATAAATTGAATTTATACAAATTAAATCATCCCATAATAAAATACAAAATACGAATTATTGTTCATTGACAAAAAAGAGAATATTTTCGTTATTATCATATCCATTGATGGCATACAATTCTGCTGGCCATGTTTGTACGTCATTTTCAGCCGTTTGGGTATTGATATTAAAAAAGTCCATATTATATGTGTGATCCGATGAAGCGGACACCATCGTCTCAAACATATCAGTACTTGAGAAAAGATTAGGAATGGGAAATGTGAAGGGATCATAAGCGGAGTGTTGACAAAGTACCGAGTTGTCGATGCCTGTGATGTCGTCACAAGAGTTCTCTGGACTTGGCAATTCGATAGATATTGTATCATTGTACATCGATGTTGTTAGATAATTGTTGCTTTCCTGGGTTGAGCTCTCAAGGCAAGTGTCATTATTTGTACTCTCACACATGACGGTATCCACGTTACTCTCAATTGACACAACAGTAGTCATGTGACTCTCATCTGCTCGGTAGTCTACGTTTTGAACGGTGCTGCACGTATTGGCATTTCTGACGGTTCTACGCGCACGCACTCTGTTGTTTCGACTTACAAACGTATCTCTATCCATATTTCTGAACGACAGTTCCCCAACCCTTCTTCTCTGTCCAGTTCTTTTCGGTTTATAAACATAATCGGGAAAGGCGAGCCTGTGTCGCTCTTGAGCCAATTTAGAAAGGACACCAAAGTACGCTTTGACCAGGTCGGGTTGCATCTTCCATTGATTCCCGGCAAGCTTTGAAACTTCATGAATGGTATATGATTTATCGGGAAATCGTGCGCGTAGTTGGCCTTCAAAATCTCTGCGAAAAAGAATAAACGAATTCTGAGAACGAGGATGGTTTTTGCGCTGATTGTATGTGGGATCGAGAAGAACGCTTAGGTCAACGGTAAGGAGGTAGGGTGGCCAAAGCAAGAGAATGATTTCAAAGGAAGTGAGTGAGACGGGTGTATTAATGGAAGCTAAAGTTGGGTATGCGTGAGATTGATCATTGAACGACGGGGTACCCGAAACAAGAGTAGACATGTTGAGAGATTTTTTATCAGATAGTTGATATCTCTTGCAGTGTTTTGATTCCGTGGATGGATGTGCGAGGACTTTATATAAGAACGTGTCGGAGTTGTTATTTTGACTATAACAATGTATTCAAACATAATAAGCATTACACATAAAAAAATACAAACAAACGGTCCGTATAAAATATACGATATAAAAAATACACAATTACATATACAATACTTTCACATATGTAATGTAATTTATGTTGCAAATTCATTAATTCATCTCGTTTTACACTTAAAAATAAATAAACATTTTAAATAAAGTATCCGCTGTATAAATAATAGAAATGATTAATTGGACCAACAATATAAAATCTACTATACATCATGGTATTAGTATTAGTTGGTAAATCGGACAACAAACAACTACTGTTATCTACTTTAGCTGATGTTGTTATTATAATTATGTGTATATAGTATATAGTGATTATTACATTGTATATATACACATGTTATTTTATTATTACTTTATTCTATTCTTATTTCTTTACTCTGTCTTATTTCTTTATTATTATTGATATTTTATATTGATAGAATATGATGTTGTCATTATATTCTATATCGTGTACATTGCTTTGGTATGTATATTACTAACATCCGCGTGACCAAATGTAAAACGACGATTGAAAATCGTTCTTTTGAATATGTACCTGTCTTGTCGAAACTCCATTTCCTTATGTAAACACACACCTGTCTTTCCTTGAATCTTCGTTCCCCTATGAAAACGCAGTGTCTTCCTGAATCTCCAGTCCACCCATGGGAAACACATGTCTTCGTTCAAACCGTAAACAACACCTCACCATCCATAGACATTAGTATTACTATGTAATTGTTGCTGCGCAACAACAAAGTTAACCATCCAGTTTGGAAAGAAGACTTTGCGTACACTACTGCCCGTCTCATTTTAGGGTCGGCTCACGTACAAACAAGGCAAGTAACAGAGTAGTGATGAAGAGACGGAGAGAGCCGCCGTGGAATCACACAATACGTCCCATCATGGAGGTTAGTCAGTTGTAGAGCTTGACACATACATTCGAGTAAAATCGTTGACAAGACTTTTAATTTGGATTTTACTCGCTCTTTTCGCCATATGTTTACTATGTTTACATTCTTGTCACCGTCAAATTCAACAAACTTTTAGAATACCATCCTTTGACTCCTGCTTGCATTTATCACCCATCCTCCACTGACAGTCAGCGCTAGAGAATACGACAAACGACTCACCCCCAACATCACACCACTGTTTGTTCACACAGTCGTGGTTCAAGGAATAGAGTGAATGTACAGTCCTCTTTTGGATCTCGCTTATGAAAAACGTAGTTCTGGATGCTGAGAACGGATGTCGGTTGTATGATGCGAGTATGTGTATGGTAACATTCTTGCATACGTTAATGAACTGATACTAAAGTAAGTATTTTAAGAACAGATTCGTCTTCAATGTTCTTATTCTACTAGTACACAACTTGACCGTTTGCTTCCATATCAGAATAGTTTTCACGGGGCACGGGCAAACATGAACTATTCTTCAGCGAGAGTATTAGGAGGAACGTCCGATGTTTCAAGGAATAACGAGCTCTCCGGAAGATGGGCGTTCGCTGCCCGTAAGCCAACGAAGACAGACTTGTACCAGATGGCGAAAGACACTGGTCCTGTATTTACACTTGCGAGAAAGCATAACATATGATGCGCATCGTGCTTACAATCGCACAGGACGCTGTAGTGTCTTTCACAGTTGTGCAGCCGCCACCTCCGAGCGGCCGCCTCTAGTGCGCCCTCACGCTTATATTACGTCCACGACGAGTACACGCTGCCCGGACGTCGTCTGCGGTTTTAATATGGGAGTCAGCATTGCGAGCGATGACTTTTTTGCTGCTTTAAGGTAAATATCAGTGCAGTGGTTAGTTGAAAGTGATACCGTGAGCCCACTTTACAGAAGGTCTATCGAAGGAGCACATGGAGGGAACACACTCCTATACCTTCTTTATTGCTTCTTCATACGATGTACGGGTCACCTCTTTGATGATAAACTCAGGAACAGATTATTCGGTGAATTCATCTGACGTATGAATTTTTATTCTTAGCATAACGACCAAACTTTAAACAACTCATCAACCCAATACATCTATCGGACAACTATCGATCCTCCTCTTTACCAAGACCATTGCTGTTCCGAATACGCTTTTTGTGAGCATCATCAAATCTCCAAATGGAACGTCCAAAACACATGGGGGTAATAGGTGGAAAAAACCGATATACCAATTGATGACTGTTTTATTATCGTTAAAGAGAATCTGCATTAGATCTCTGCGAGTAAAAAGTAAACAGACCAATCTGCAACGACAGAGGTTGCTAGTTTACGAGGTTTACAAGGTATGCTGCTCGCATTTGTTCTTTGACCACGTATGTTTGGTATATGATGTCTTTACGCTTTCTTTCAGCGACATCAGAGAGGTAAATGCTGACTGTTTCTTCCCTTATATGCCTATCAGCAATATTTTCATCGGATATTCGATAGAGTATGGTAAAGAGCGAGGTTGACAATACATGGACCGTCAAGATGTCTTGCGACTATTCACTGTCTATAATATTAGAAGTGCTCAGTTCACCATACCGTGCCGCCTCGGGAATCAGTGATACTATCTCCAAACAGGGGACATCGTGATAACAGAAGCATCCCGTACACTTTGGCTTCCCCTTCCTTCATAAGTAGCACAAGCACCTCCCGATTGGACCACAGACAACGAGTCTTTGGATTCGTTGTTATGTTTGTATTTATCAAATGAAGCAACTGATAAAAAGGCGGACGTCATTATTCTTAATACGAAATTATTGCCAATACTCATGTAGCAGAATGTTAAATAAAAGTTACTCGAAGAAAAAACTCACTGGTAATTCTTCGGGCAAGCATTGAAGCATACCCTATATATGTCTTTATTGATCATTCAGGTACAAATTAATGGCCTTAAACGGTCTATTTACAAAGTTGATACTTTTTTCTAAATTAGTTTACTGCTGTAAACAACCAGCGCTTGTTTCGTAAATAGTAATAACCAACAAAGGGGAATACTAGTGAGGAACGAATTCCCTTTTCACCGAATAAACTTGTAAAGCTTGGATGCAAGACCCCATTCATACCGTTCTGTAGAACTAAAATTAAATAGTTTTAACGCTTCTCTCACGCAGCAGGGCCTTTTTATGCAGGTCAAAGCTTCCTTCCGTTTGCAAGTGCTTTTAAGGGGGGACGGGATAAATATCTTTATCTTATTCGCCGGGTAAGAGTCACTAGTATAAGGATCGGATAGTCAAATCCAAACCTTTTAACTTTCAAAAGTACTATATCGGGGTTACGATTATCCAATAACGACAATGGGAAGCCTCAATTTTATAGAACAGGGTTGCTTTGAAATACAAAATTCACCGAAATGAATAAAAATTGTATAAATAAAATATATCCTCATGCATTAGGTCTACCGACATCCGAATACCTTACGTCAGATTCGCATATGACTAGCGGGGAGAAGTCGTAAGTCAGCAACTTGGAGTAATGTTTGTCGGCGAGCAAGCAGTCAGCCCTATAGATTCAAGATACTCCCGTTTATACAAAATATGTTACCCATTATCGAAGATTTGACAAACGACCTGAGCTAGTTGTTTCGACTCGATTATTGCTTTTGCTATACGTATTTATTCCGCAAGGTATTTGGTTTTATAATAATAAGAAGTTTGTCCTTATATTTATTTATAACCCTAATAAGGTTAACTAATGGCCGTCACGTTGCAATGACTGGACCAGTAAACATGTTTATAACTTCTTTTCTTCCGACGTCAATATTACTATCAATAGTGCTGAGTGGCATTTTACCTTGACAGATAATAAAAGGACTCTGTCATTCCGCAGACAGGAATTTCATTACCATCAAACCGATCATGACTCTCTTTGAGGGTCTCGCTCTACAGAAACCTCGCCGGGGACGGACTGGGTAGGCGGTTGGGCAGATACTCTCAAGTTTCTATTTTAAATTAAAGCGTGAAAGCAAGGGACGAACTCCCCACACTTTCCGCCGCTCCTTTGCTACTCTTTTGTACAGTACACAATTACTCAGAAATAATAAATACCTAAATTAATAAGTACATTCTGATCCTCTTTATAGTCACCCCCTTTATAAGCCCATTAGCAACACCCATTAGCAACACCCATTAGCAACACCATTTGAGGGAACTAATTACTGTGGAACGTATAGAAAAAAACCCCTATACAACTTTATAAGCACATTTTTAACAAAAGTTGCATTGTTCCCGACGGTGTAGTTATACGAGACGGAGGATGGGTAATACATACATTAAATCCGTTTCACATAATCGCTCAAAAAGGCTATCATTGTGCGACCTAATTCCTATATAAATATTAATGGTCAGGTCTCAATAAACTTCGGAAACATTAATTTGGTGCTTTGTATCATCTATCAAACCTCTGATTAAAAACTGCTTTATCTCTTACTTTTACGCTTATACTCACCCCTCCCCACCTCACCATGGCCGATTTAAATATCCAATCGAATCACGGAAACTATACAGACAATATTCAATCCGATCAACTGAATAGTATTAACTCTAGCGACGATCACCATACAAACGGTTGTCCATTAAATCAGACAATTCCTACGGACTTTGACTACACAAACATGGAACAACCAATTACTATAAACTCTAATGGCGTTTATTCTTACCATCACAGTCAAATGCCTCCTCAACCGTCTGACATGGGCTTCTTAAGCCATGACAGCATTTACATGGGTATGAATGAATCTTTGAATACCGAAAATTACGGGTGCGTCGGAAACGGTGAAAATGGAGCCAACTATTCGACGATGAATTACAATTCGAGTAATTACAACCCACATTCTATTTATTGTTTACCTCCTCAAACGTTCGTTCAAACGCCACCTGCGTTTACTCTTTCCAACAATGCTGGAGTAATGACAAACGCTACGAGTCATGGGTGCACAGTAATTATTATAAAAGCAGATATCAACCTGGAAAAATTGTTGTCCATCATTCAATAATGTGAAAGAAGAGAAGTAATATACATGTAATATTTATATATAGTCTTCTTATTTTATTATATATTGATTCTGTATTAGTAAGTTTTAAAACTTTTTCCTTCTTTTTTTTTATCAGATAAGATACCTTATTGTTTGCTTCTGGTTTACTTGAATGTAGGGATAGCGGTTATACTCATAATCCTCTGATAGTTTTGTAAGACGATAGGATTAAACAGGAGACTTGTTCTGAAGTCAGTTATAAATATAAACAATGTTGATCAGATACCTGTGATACGAATGAGTCTCAAAAATTCTATAAATACAATAAAGCAGTCATTATACACTTTTGAAACAATTAAATTGTCGCTATTGGAAGATAATGCAAAATGGTTCGAAGGGACGAAGGGCTTGTTGGGTAACCTTACTAACCGTAGAATAACCACGGGTAGATACATGCCATTAAAAGTAGAAATCTGTATTGTGTACAACTCTATTCTGACCAACGAAAAACTTTGCAATATTTGTGTATTTTGCATTTTAATATGGACGAAATTTACAAACACAACTTCTTAATTGTCCAAATTTGAAAATAGAGGAGGGATACAGTAATACAGCAGATATACTAATACTAAGACCTTAAACGTTATGCTATATTAGTATGACCTATATAATATAAATAACTCAATATTATCAAAAATTCGGAATTGTACTTGTATAACTGACTTTAAATAATCTTCCAATTATAGCATAATTGGAATAATCACAAAAAATTTGTCGTATCAATGGCAAGAAGATTTGATTACTGCATTAACATTGATAGCAAAGACGATTTCTCTACAAAATTTGTATGTGAGCAAAGTTTTTCGTTGGTCAGAATAGAGTTGTGTCACAATAATAGACACATGACCTGCTACTGGGTAGTTTATATAAAACTATTACGTACTGTTGAATTAAAATTAGGTATGACAATAAAAAATTAATTATTAATAAAAGCTGTGATGTTATCTGTAACTTATTGAAGCTTTATATTTTAACGCAATTGCATAATATACAGTGAACCCTCCATAAATGCACGCTACCTCTCATTCCCGAGCTTGGGAATTAGACGTAAATACACACCCACCATATTCTGCACTGCATATTTGCTATTTGTGTTATTATTATGCTGTGTGTCGGTTCATCAGCGTGGTTGTTAGCTTGTGCATATTGGATTACAAATCGGAAATAAGGTACCTGTCATGATTTGCGTGTGTACAGGATCGGGCTACAACCCGAAGTTTAGGTTAGAGAGATGTGTAGATTTGGAGTTGTGTTGGGGGAAACAATATTGTGTAATAAAGTGAATTAAACCGTCTGTAGCTTAATATTGTTGACACCGGTTTTTTCGAATCCCCACCATAGGTAAACCTCCCTCTCTAAATGCACGCCCGTGACTTTCATGTGATATAAGTAGTGTTACGCGAAGAAATTACACAAAATTTGTACCCACGATTATAGACGAAGACCATATAAAGAAATTTCTGTGCGCACGATTATAGACAAAGACCGAATAAAGAAATTTCTGTACGCGAAGACCAAATAAAGAAATTTCTGTGCGCACGATTATAAATTAATCAGTATTAACGAGTCTTCTACAACAGGATAATGCTGAGGAATCGTTCAAACACGTCAAAGCTCTTGACAAATACAGTAAGGTAAAAAAGATGACCGCAATGAAACAGACAACGATGAAACAATTTTTTAATAATAAATAACCAATAATATTTTATTATTTCCTAATTTCACGTGCATCCAATCAAATTCTTACCCTCCATAAATGCACACCCTCCATAAATGCACGCTTTCCTCCATTCCCGAGGGCGTGCATTTATGGAGAGTTTACTGTACATAATAACGAGACGCCAATTTTTTAATTAAAGCACGGTAATCACATGGGAATGAGATTAGAGCCTCGACTGGCACGAATTAATTAAACTAACAACCGTCTTATTTATACAAATCAGTTTGCGTTTTGCAATAGTTTACTAAGACTTTATTCTGGGAGAACCAGTCCAATAAATTATCTCATTGCAGTGAAGCAAAAAAAATATTGACGAACAAATATTGGTACTTAAACAATTTTAACGATTGTCTTTCGGGAAACGAAAATTACTAAAGTGTTATTTAAAACGTTAGACATTCCAAATTGAACTATTCGGGTATTTGTTAGAATCATCCCCACTCTGAAATTATATAGGTCAGGGACGTTGCTCATAAATTTTACGTAACATGTGAATAGCTTTGATTAATACATGATTAAATGTACATTACATCGATACATTCTGTTATCTGAAATAATGACTGGTTTCACGTTTTAGCAACATATCATAGTTAAGGGACAAACATATAATGTAATTTCGTATCACATTGTAAAACTAAGAAATTTTTGTATTAGGGTTTAAATTCTATAAGGTTCTTAAGTAGTTGGCAGTACTAAAACAATTAAAGATAACGGCGCCGTACATAGATAATTTTTTATAGTGTTCTCCTTTTTGTGCTGTGCTATGTCAAAGAAAATAAATAAAATACAATAAAATAATAAAATAAAATAAATGCGGAACAGTCGAGTCTGTACAAAAGAGTTTATAGGAGACGGGTTGTATTTTAAAAACTTTACAGCACAAAACAAATTTATTTTCGGAAAATCAATTTTTTTTTTTTTTTTAGTTTATTGGTTAGATGTTTAATAACGTCACAAGTATAGACAGAAAAAATGACCAAATGTACGTTAAGTACAACTTCAACAGTAAGAGTTCTGAGTTAAATTACATCGTAACCGAAGCATCGGAGATATAGCAATAATGTGGTTATTTCTAATTGTGTTTTTGTCCTTTACGTTTACCGTCATTATAAGAAACGATAGCTTATATACAACGCTTGTACTCAAATTTACTGTATAAATAACTTTATTATAGGCATACCAATTTGAACAAGAAAGTTGTTATTCTATTGCCAAGGAGCTTATTAGTTTGTGACAACATGTCTATACATCTTTTATCCATTAACTGGTTTTATATTTCCTTGCGTTAATGAAATGAGCGAAATCGTATGTTGAATTGTGATTGATGTGGTGAGCGTCGTCGACTGCGTAGCGAATAACTGTATGTAGAACTTGTAAAATACGAGTAAAGCATAATAAAATTTTTCAACTCGAACCGAGCTTGTTATGGAAAATAACAATAAACGTATTCCACACTAATTTGTTTTTAGCTTCCAAATATGTAAAATTTATCTCATCTGCACTATTGCGTAATATGCAATTTACTGTAATATTTTTGATAAAAAAGCTTTTTTGTTTGCAGCGCAGTAAACATATACTCGGGCGTGCGTACGGTAACTCTCTTGCACCTTGTCCACCAATAGGAATTTAACCAGTGGCATATCACATGCTACTGTTCATATGTCAGCCATTCGCATCCATATTAGTATATTTGTATAATCCGGTGACCTATTAGCAACGTCAATGTTCATACTAATACTATTAACATATGATGCAACATGCATACAATAAAACAAAGAATATCTTCCCATGGTTTTTTTACACCGGTCAAGTTTTTAATTGCCACAACAGTTCAGAGTCACAGGCAACTTGTCCCACTGTTCTGATACTCATTACCTTTGATCATAAATTATATTTTTTGCATAAAGTTCGATGACCCAACAGCATGCAACCTATGTTTGTAATTATGCAAAAGTTTGATACGCTAGGAGTTTTGTCTTGTCGGCACCCCAAATTTTGGTTCGCTTTGACAAAGTTCAATTTTGCCACTACCAAGAAATTACCCGAAGTGATATAAGTTATTAATAGTAATCACGAGTGATTTGATATTGATACAAAAACTCTTCTAAGCGCTAGACATAAACACTTTATTCGAAGTTTTATTTTCAGATCAAAACATTCGGCATGTTTATATTTCAATCTATTCAATTTGATATTTTGTCTTGCCAATAAATATTTATTAACGAATTTATCCAATAGTCATAAATCTTTTGACTTGCATACATCTACGAAAACAGCACGCATTAATGACATACAACGATCGATTATTAATTATGGGGCAAGACAAAGATAAACGCCAGAATTATTTTTGAGAAGCTAAATATACAAGAGTTATTTATACCTTTTTGCAAGCTTTTTTAATGATGTTATCAGAATATTTATGTGAACTTCGGATAAAAGTGTTTAGTTTATTTAAAAAACGACAAAGTCTGAAGCTAGGAAATAAAATTTGGAGTTTTTGATTACTATTAATAGCTCGGATAAATTCCTGGACATTGGCAACAACGTGACCGCTGATGTCCCCAAAAATTTAGGGACGAAACTCCTGATGCATCAAAACGAAACTGCTGCAACAGTTGTCGGTGGACCCCAACCAAAACATTATAAGCATATAAAACACTGTTTTTTATTATTAGGCTAAATTTAGAAGCGGAGTATTAGATATAAAAAAGACACATATCTCCATTCCATCGAACTTCAAACACAAAACTTGCTTATCTCTTGTCCTTACGCTATATCAACATGGCCGATTTTAATAACCAAACGGATCCTGAATGCTATACATACAATATTCCGTCCAATCAGGTGCATATGATGGAATCTAGCTATACAAACGATCGTCCATTAAATCAGACAATTCCTACGGACTTTGACTACACAAACATGGAACAACCAATTACTATAAACTCTAATGGCGTTTATTCTTACCATCACAGTCAAATGCCTCCTCAACCGTTTGACATGGGCTTTTTAAACTATGACAGCATTTACATGGGTATGAATGAATCTTTGAATACCGAAAATTACGGGCGCGTCGGAAACGGTGAAAATGGAGCCAACTATTCGACAATGAATTACAATTCGAGTGATTACAAGCCAAATTCTATTTACGGTTTACCTCCTCAAACGTTCGTTCAAACGCCACCTGCTCCTACTCTTTTCAACAATGCTGGAGTAATGACGAACGCTACGAGTCATGGGTGCACAATAATTATTATAAAAGCAGATATCAACCTGGAAAAATTATTGTCCATTATTCAATGATGTGAAAGAAGAGAAGGAATATACATGTATATAGTCTTCTTATTTTATTATATATTGGATTTGTTCTGAGATTAAGTAAATTTTGGGTTGACAAATTGACACAATTTTACTTGTGTTACGGTGAGTCTCAATTCA